GCTAAGGGGCTCAGGGCTAGAGAGAGGCCTGCCTGGGAACATGGCTAAGAAGAGGTTGTCCTGGTCAAAGAACTGAAAGGTAACCTCTTACTTCCCTAATAAACCCCATACCTTTGAGTATGGTCTGTAAACTCTATGTTTTGTTGTTGTGTGCCGTGGAGTCGGTTCTGACTCATAGTGACCCTGTACAGGGTTTCCGAGGCTGTAAAACTTTACAAGAGCAGAAAGCCTCATCTTTCTCCTGTGGAACAGCTGGTAGTTTCGAACTGATGACCCTGAGGTTTGCAGACCGATTCGTAACCACTACAACTACCAGAGCTCCTATGTGGCCACTGCAAAAATCCTCAAATCTAGAAGAGCAGTAGAGTGTGACGGGAGGGGCTCTGGTATTGGAATTGGTAAAAAGGTTTCGAAGGGTGGAGGTAAGTCTGACCTTCACTTTACAGCAATCAGCCTTGGGCTATGGATGCTGACAAGGATTCTCACTCACCCTTGTGAAGTTAGAGGAGGTCTTGCCTCTTTAAAAGGGAAAAACAGGAGAAAGCTATTCTAAGAAATTCAACAAACAGGGTTGTATGTCTTCAATATATAAGATTCTGAGAAATCCACAATAAATATGTCTCCAACTGATTATCAGGCTCAATGTCACCTCAAATGTATGTCAAACACAACTCACCTCCTTGTACTCCCTACCATCACACACATACATTTCCCTTGAAAAACAAAACATAATGGAGATTCTTCTTCCTGACTTTTATTGAGGCATTTGTCTTATGGCATTTCCATTCATCAGTCACTGCACATGGGAAAGCTCAGGCTTTAGGTTGTCTCATCAGCTCCTGCTTGGGTTATTTTAATAGCCTCCTAATTTGTCTCCCCATCTCCACATACCCAAAGAGTGATCATCAGCCTGCCTGCCAGTTTAAATACTGCTTGGATCACAATACAACTCAATTAAGAACCTTCTTTTGAAATTGACATTATAAACAGAGGAGAGCAAACTTTGCAATAGCATTCAAGGCCTTGTTCCCCTGATTTTATCTGAAGCTTCTATTCTACATGAATTTCAAAACAATTCATCAAATCCATTAAGCATTTCATGGTTGTTTTTTTCTGGTAAAATATGATCCATCTTAAAGAGAAAAATAAGGAGTGCTGGTTGTTCAACAGTTAGGTGCTTATTTGCTAACTGAAAGGTTGGTGGTTCAACCCTACCCAGCAACCCCACAGGAGAAAGACCTGGTGAAGTGAGTGTGTAAAGACTGCAGTCACGAAGACCCTATGGGACAGTTCTATTCTGTCTTGTGGGATCACTATGAGTTGGAATCAACAGTACCAAACAATAACAATAAAGAGAAGACTAAAACATCATTATCAAATCAACTTTTATACTTATTAGAATAAAAGAATTAAATATAACATCTAAAATACATAGAACCTCTTAGATACATTCCTTGTCTCCTTTTTAAATGTTAACTGAGTGCCAAAGCACTCACACTAACCCCCATGTGCCAAAGACAGTCTCTGTTTTACAAAAGCAGTCTTTGAGAGATTAACTCACCTAGGATTACTATGACAGATCGGGCATTCAAACTCAAACCTACCTAATTCTAAACTCCTCTTACATTTACACCAAGTTACCATCTAGGTCCAAGGAGCTATGGTAATGTAGTGGTTATGAGTAGAGCACTAACCTCAATGTCAGCAGTTTGACCTTTCACCTTCCACAGGAGAAAGATGAGGCTTCTGCTCCCTCATTTACAGCTTTGGAAACCCTATGCATGGTTGCTATGAGTCAGAACCAACTCCAGGGCATACCACCAGTACTACCACCACCGTCTAGGTCTAGCTTCAAAGGCTCCTTGTAAGGATTCTTTTCCTTATACAAATCTTGCTTAAGGTCAAGAGTTTAGATTGAAGTGCAAGCAATATTTATAATCTAGGATTGTTGTTGTTAAGTGCCGCTGAGTCGGTTCCGGCCCATAGCAACCCTGCACAGGGTTTCCGAGGCTGTAAATCTTTACAGGAGCAGAAAGCCTCCTCTTTCTCCCGCGGAGCAGCTGGTAGTTTCGAACTGCTGATCTTGCGATTCGCAGCCCGATTCGTAACCACTATGCTACCAGAGCTCCTTCATAATCTACGATAGTCTGCCTTTTTCCTTTTCAGTCTTCCCAAACTATAAATCAATGATGTCCCTCACTTGTTAAAGCCATTCGAAAGCTCCTTATTTCTACCCTTGTTACCACTACACTGAATTTTCTCCTTAATCTGGCATGGCTCTGTGGGAATTTAGAACAACCTGTATTAGAATCTTGGCATTACACTCGCGGGCTGTGGGGACCTTGGGAAAGTCAGTTATGCCCTCTGAGCCTCTGTTTATTCATCCAGGAAATGGGGATACCGACCTCATAGGCTTGCTGTGGAAATTAAACAATGTATTTAAAAGGTCCAGTCTTTATATGCTGGAGAAATGGTTGTCTGCGATGGAATAACTAATTTGTGAGAAATACGCCAAATCAATACCAGCATTTCATTTTATTGTGCTCATTTTATTTTGCCATGTGTAGGACTTGACTCCATGCAGTGAGTTTTTTGGTTATTGGGCGTCTCAGATACTAAAACTCGTCCCCACCCCTTTTTTAAAAAAACAAACTGAAGGTTTGTAGCAATCCTGCATCAAGCAACTCTATCTGTGCTATATTTTCCAAAAGCATGTGTTCACTTCATATCTGTGTTACATTTTGGTAAGTCTTGTTAATACTTTTAACTTTTTCATAATGGTAATGGACACTAATAGGCTATGCTGCTGTTGTTCAGTGCCGTCAAGTCGGTTCTGACTCATAGTGACCCTGTATAGGGTTTCCAAGGAGCGGCTGGTAAGTTCAAACCGACCTTGAGGTCGAGTGCTTATCCTATAGTGCCACACCAGGGCTAATGTTGTTGTTAGTGCCATCAAGTCAATTCCACCCCATAATGACCCTGTACAGGATTTCCAAGAAGCAGCTGGTGAGCTTGAACCACTGACCCTGTAGTTCAAATGACTTTGCAGTCTGACACATTAGCCCACAGCGCCACACCAGGACTTCAACCAGGCCTAATAGTATAATTAATTAGCTGAATATCCACATATTAGTCATTACAGTTTAATTTTTTTGAACTATCCCCAGTAGACCATTAAAATTTCAGAATAGATAGTGCTCAGTATGTCCTTTGATTTGGTCAACTACACATTTGCATTTCCTGGTTTCTACATACTTTGGACATACTGTCAGGAGGGAATAGTCGCTGGAGAAGGATATGTTTGGTACGGTAGAGGGACAGAGAAAAAGAGGAAGAACCCAGTGAGATGGATTGGCCAAGTGGCAGCACCAATGGACTTAAATGTGGCAATAGTAGTGAGACTGGCCCAGGATCGGGCAGTGTTTCGTTCTGCTGTGCATAAGGTCGCTGAGTCGGTACCAACTTGATAGCATCTAACAACAACAAAATAACAACAGATATAGTGGTTATTTTGCATTTTGTGTGGCAGTGTGAGTTAATGCGCTGGACTGCAGTCAGTTTGAACCACAAGGTCAGCAGTTCGAGCTCACCAGCTACTCCTAGGAAACCCTATACAGGGTTACTACAGGTTGGAACTGACTTGAAGGCACTTAAACAACAAATAGTAGCGTAGTGGTTATAGTCAGGCTGCTAACCTCAAGGTCAGCAGTTCGAAACTACCAGCTGTTCCACAGGAGAAAGATGAGGCTTTCTGCTCCAGTGAAGATTTACAGCCTCAAAAACTCTATGCAGGGGCGCTATGAGTTGGAATTGACTCCATGGCATACCACCACCATAGGCTTCAATATTGCCACACAAGGCAATTTTTCATAACCTATTAACATGTGCATACTACAGAGCCAGTCCTAGTGTCACTGTGGGTTAGGCATTGGGCTGCTAACCATAAGGTCAGTGATTCAAACCCATCCAACAGCCACTCTGCAGGAGAGCTGTCTGCTCCCATAAATATTCCTAGTTGCTGAAACCCTAAGGAGCAGTTCTAGTCTATCCTATAGGGTCACTATGAATTGGAATTGACAGTGGGTTTTGTTTTTATTAATAGCAGTCACAGAAAACAATATTTTCAGGGTGAAAAAAAATTAGCAGTAAATTTAGGCACAAAAAGCATACGTCTCAAGAACTCAAAGGTCCATTTAAAAAATTAACTTAAGTTTCCTATTTTCTTAAAAATACTTTACGGTAAGTTTACCTATTTATAAGTATCTCTGAAATTACTCAAGAAACACTGCCACACATTCACTCTGTAACCTGCCAATGACTCCCTGGGAGTACCTTATGTCAAAAAAATGGGGAGGGGCTGGGCTCAGCTTCTGGGTCAAAGTCCTCTACACGGAGACCCACAAATGTTCACTTTATGGCAGGCAATTCAATGAGTAACTAGAGCGGAGTCGGAGACGCAGTTCTAAGATGTTTGTTGCTCCTTTGGCCAGAACTCAACTCAAGCTGACCAGGTTTTATCCTAGCCTGTCCTGGGCGTCAGGGTTCCCGAGAAACTCACAAGGGTGAAGGAGTTAAGCTACGCACAGGCTCCAGTTCAAAGTGGGCACTACTGGAATTCGAGCAGTTTGGGGTTATTTTTGGTTTTGTCCAGTTCCACTTTACATTTGACAAATATGTAAAAGGCTGTAAGAAAACCCAGAAGCATCCTCTGTCTTCTGGCCATTGCTCTATTCCTAGAGAATTTACGAAGGAAGAGCAAGTATCAGGAACCATTTGGGAATAAGGCGCAGGCGCCAAGCCCAGGCTAGTTGGACCCATTTGCGAAGCACTTTGTGGAGATCAATACATTCCTGACTGATTTTAGACTGGCCCCTGGAGAATGGGGCGCTTACAAAGCCCGCTGCCCTGCTGGAGCAAATGGGTCAAGGAAAGAGCTGTTGCCATCAAACGAGCCCTTTGGAGCAGGCGGCTCCAGAGAGCGGACGCGAAGGGCGCGTTACCTGGACGACTCGGCGGTGAAGCTGCCGCCGTCCAGCAGCCGCATCTTGCAGAAGAGGACCCCATTGACGAAGGGCACCGAGGAGAGCTCCTCGAGTTCGAAGTCCACCTTAAACTTAAACTTCTTTTTCTTCATCATCATGAGAGCCAGACGCCGGCGAGCGGGGTGCGGGGGCGGCCCCAGGGGTCGGTCGGGCGGTCGCCACCGCTTCAGCTCCGCTGAGCCCCGGCCCCGCCCAGCCACA